CAATGAGGAACAACAACAGCTGTTTGTTTTGGGGGTTCAAGTAAGACTCATTTTACTTTTTCACAGGCTACAGAAAAAAACAGCATGCACCACATAATCAGAAAACAAAATTGCCAATTGGTTTTGAGATAAAACTTGCTTTTGAGGCAGATAAAAAAACTTGAAAATCCCCAGAAAACATTCTCTGCACATTAGGAAATCTCCAAATCACATTATACCAAAGAATATGTAACTCAGTTCTATTTAATTCAAATAAATTTGTTTGTGGTCCCACATCAAAGCCCATCATCTTGACCACTTTTAACATGTCTATATCAACATTTTTCTGACTTCAAGAGCACTAGCTAGGCGTTATACTGTGTAAACCTAACTGTTTTGATTTGGTGTTAAAATTAAGAAATTATGAAAACTTACACTGATTTCTATCTCAGTGGTGCACAAGCTTGAAGAGCAATGAAAACTTCAATAAATGAGTCCTTAATGAATTTATCTCTACTAAATTTTTATGAGAATAATGTGAATAAAATATATGGCAGTCATCAATATCACTTCCATTCTAATCATTTCTGCAACCATTTACTGAATTTCCCTTTACAATTTAAAACACTGTGACTGGAAAATTTATATTTGTGAAACTAATTTGATGGATGTCTTTGGTTAAGGAAATCAATACCTGTGTATAGGCAAGTAGCAATTATTTATGAACATTTAAATTACTATATCCCTGAACATTATTACAGATATGTCACATGCCATGGCTTCTTAGGATTTTAATTTTGAATGAAAAGAAGCTTTCATTTTGAAAAAATAATGCAGTGTCAGAATATTCTGATATGGATTACTCATGAATCCATTGATAGATCTGACAATGAATTGCAAATATTTTAAAATCCTAAATTAACTTGAGATATGTACAGTAATCTGTATCATCTTCCTGATGAATTTTGTCAGAATTTACGATGTTGCAACTTGATATTCTGCCATAATTGTTATTTCCAATTGTGTTTTTTTAGAGGACCAACCAAAAGGACTGAGCACATTCACCATCATGGCAGGACTTGGAGGAAGCCTTGGATATCTCATGGGTGGTGTCAAGTGGAAAGAAACATTCCTCTCAGAATTATTTAGAAATGATGTCCAATGCTTGTTTGCCCTAGTTCTGATTATTGAATTGGTCTGCGTTTTTGTAACCCTGACATCCTTTGCTGAAGTTCCTCTCCCACTCCTGCTGAGCAAGTCTCCTGAACAACTTGGAAAGGTGAGCTTGATTGGAACATGTTTTCAACTTCACTATTTCAATGTTCAAGAGTTTGCTGTTTTGAAAAAGACAGATGAAACAGGAGCTTCAGTTGCAGTGTACCAAACTTTTGATCAAAGTGCCCCAGAGGGGCATCAGGTCATCAACAAAGTATACCCTGAAGGAGCCCTGGAAATGAGAACTTCAGCTGCTTATCCTGATCAACAATGGCCAGGAGAACAATCCTATCAACACCCTGAGATGGTGAAAAATATAAAATCAAATAAATTATTTGGCATAATAATCATCATTCCATTGAATAAAAAGGGCCAAGAAGTTGGAAACCTTGAAGGAGAAGCTTTGACCCTTCAGCACTACTTGACCTCCATCTTACACATGCCCAAGTCACTCATGACTATTTGTCTGACAAACTTTTTCTCATGGAGTTCTTTGGTTTGCTATTCACTCTTCTTCACAGATTTTGTGGCTGAGACAGTTTTTGAAGGGAACCCAGCAGTAAGACATTAGGCCAAAATGATGATGGGATTAGGAGAATTATACTGAATGTGCTGATCTATCTTTCAGAGTCCTGAAGGAACTCCAGAAAAAGAAGCCTATCATGATGGAGTGAGATTTGGCTGCTATGGAATGAGCTTGTACTCACTGTCATGCTCAATTTATTCCATGGTTATTGTAAGGCTTGTCAGCAAGTTCAGGTAAACTTTTGGCAGCAAAACTGAGCTCCTATTCCCACACTTGTTTTATATTATTGCAGAGCAAAGAAGGTGTATGTGTGTGGTCAATTGGTGTACTCAGTTGGGATGGTAATCCTTGCAGCTACCAGAAACAAGGCTGCATCCATCATATTCTCTGCCAGTGCTGGAATCATGTATTCTACGTTGTTTACCATGCCATACATGCTGATTGCGCACTATCATGCCACTGGACAGGTACTTATTTGTCTGACTTTATATACTGGCATTTTTTAAACCTAGTTTGTGAAGAAAAAACTTTTCCTAACTTTCGTGACCAACTGCCCATAATATCATGAGTGATGCTTACCCATGTCAAAAACTTCCCAGTGAAAATCAAATGGTAAGTTTCTTGTTGAATACCCTCAAGATCAATTTACTTGAGAAATCCTCAACCTATTGAGAGACTTTTTGACAAAAATCTCTTATAATTTGAATTTCACCAGAGGGTGCATTATAAATTGGTTCAGAGCAGAGGAAGTGAGCATGGGTTCTTATTTTGAAGCAATGAGCATAAATTCATATCTTAAAGCAGAGAACATTCAGAAACTCTCTCCAAGCTAAGCATGGTATACAGGTGGTATCCCACAATGGAACCCTATTCCATTGCTGGGCTAGGGTCAAATTGCAAAGCAGTCAAATTGTGAGATAACGTCAAATGCAGCGCATTCTGCATTAAATTCAAGATTTTGCTTCTCACTGAACAAGGTTGAATTGCAGGGCAGAGGTTGAATTACAATTTGATTTTCCAGGAACTATTACCTTAAAATTTTTAGATAGGCAAATTTCAGGTCATTGAATTGCAAGGTACCACCTGTATTGTGAGGTATTATTACCCTAGTTTGAGGCTGAAAACCCAAAGTTTAGCCCTTGGATGGTGGACGGTTCCTTTCCATCCTTAGCTGCGCAGAGTCAGGATTATTCCTGAAGTCTATTCAAGTTTGACCAAAGATCTCTAAAAGGTTTTTGTCTGGTGAAGAAAGCATAATTCAGAAAGAATCTGCACAAAGAATATCCAACAGTGTATGATACATCTCCAATGTTAATCGTAAGCCAGGGATGCAGGGAAAAACGCACCCAGAGAGTAATTTTTTCATGCTTCAGGCAAAGCTTTTTGAAGAACTATAAATGCATTGGACTTTTCCCCCAACTTAGATCTTGGTTCAAAAGTGTTATTTTTACAATTTGCAGTGGTCAAGGGCACAACGCTTTTCAAAAATATATCCAAACTTTGACACACAAGGATTAAAGCATCTAGAAGGTCAATTAGTTGAAAGATCTTATAAATTTAAAGAATTTTTAAATGTTTCTGCAGATGATTTTGTAATTATACACTATATTAGGCTGAAAACAATTTTTGACACTGGTTGAACTCACCAACTTGAAATTGTCATGAGTCCAATTACAGTTGAACCTCTGTAAGTCAAATTTCTAGGGACCACAAAAAATTTTACTTAGGGAGGTTTTGATTTTTGCAGGTTTTGAATTAAGGAAATAGTAATTCTTGCCGTGAGGATTAGTAAAAAAAAAAATAGCAGGAAATTGTAAATTAGGAGATTCTGGGCCTAGACTTGCCTCTTGATGAGTTTATACTGTACTGAACTTGGAGGCAGGGGTTCATTTGCTATATTTGTCTTTCAATTCCTTTCAAGATGCATGGAATTATTTGTTTTAATCATTTTCTTTCATATTTCACAGAAATAATAACCAGAAGGCCTCAGAAAATTAGACGTACAGAGGTGTTAGAAAAAAGTAATTCGAGCTAGTTGGGTTTTTAATGTATTGATTTTAAGGGACTTTGGACTTGAAAAAAAAATTGGACTTAGGGAGGAATTTGACTTACAGAGGTTTGACTTTTTTGGTCCTTTGAAATTTGATTTGAGGAAGTTCAACTGAAACTGATTGTTGCGCATATTTATATTGATAATGTTTAAATTTTTTTTTTCTGTATGGGAAATTGAAGTTTGTTGCAGAAGGATACAAGTCTACAGCAACATTCCAGGCCAGGGGCTTGGGCACAGATTTGGCCATAGTCAGCAGCATGATCTTCATCGCACAGTTTCTCCTCAACCTCTATATGGGACCTTTGATGACCGGATGCGGTACAATTGTTGTCATCATTGCAGCTTCCATATTGGCATTTCTTGGAGCCATTTCTGCACTCTTTGTAACATACTTTGACTTGTGAAAACATGCTGTTTTCAATCATAAATACGCCCTTGTCGGAAGTCAATATACTTTCCTGTAAATTCTTCAACAGTTTTAACTTTTAATTCAAAAGACAACTTTAAATTCTGCAATTAGTTCGAGAAGATGCATGGTTTCTAAATTGGCATTCTATATCAGATATCAGTTATAAATTGGCGATTCATGCAATTTTCGAAAAATGAATGTGAAATTATGAATTTCCGAAGTCAAATTAAGCTGGAAAATTAGAAAAGTGACGCTTTGGTGTCAATGGGTTAAATATGAAATGCCTTATTCAGAATAAGAATTGAGATAATTTTAAAATCTTCATGAAATCGCTTTTTTCTTTCGCAGAGATTTTGTACGTCGTGATTCAATTTGTCCTGAGTGGAGATTCAAACGTAATTATTCAATGCTTATAATCGATTCAATCTCACCTTTTCTCGTTTCTTCCGAATCTCATTTCTTCCCATTTCTTTCACAAATAATAAAAATGTATCAATGTACTCTTCATTTAATTGAGTAGACACATGTTTTTGGGTCTTCATTGTAGCGAATGAATCACCGTGAATAATTGATTAAATCATTAACATAAATTCTATTCGGAGAAATAATTCTGCTGCAGTAATTCTCAGCAACGTCTCATGTTAAAGTTGAAGTCGAAGTCATTCAAAATAATTTCAGTTTACAAAGAAGAAAACCTTTTTATGGATCCAGCTTTATTTTATTATTTCTTGTGGTGGTGTTCCATAAAAATATCTGAATCCTCGTCGTGCGCCAACTTAAAAAGAAGATAGATTTGGTAATAAAATTCGAATCCAGACTCAATTTTTTTGCTCCATTCATTTCTCACTCGCATTTATTTTCATGTTTCCAGAGTCCCAAAGAGTTTTTCAATCGCTGATCCGCCAACAATTTTGGCATATCGAAAGAAGACTCGAACAATCAACAGTGAATTCACCAACACAATGGCAATCAACAAGGGATTCCTTTGTTGGAGTCTGTGCAGGGAAACGCCGTCGTTACTGTCGCAAAGCGCATTGCAATAACTGTAATCGCATATGCAAATCTTGACTCCGTAAAATGGCGACACGCCCATTTGCAACTTCGCAAATGACGGGGAACTTGTTGACCCCCTAACCAATGCTATACCTGCAAGGGGAAAATATTCATACAGCATATTAATTCAGAGGATGAAAAATTACTCGCTTTATATACGAGTATTACAGAATACCTTAATTGTGTACTGGTGAAACAATGAAATTTCCTTTGCATTCCTTAATTTAAAAAAACCCGAAAATTTAGAGACCTTCCTGAGGATATCCATGCCGTTTTACCAAAAATTTCCACTTGTTTCTTTCAGTAAAATCACTCAAAAATTGCAACAACAGCAAAAAGTAGCACTGCAATTTGAAATTGCAGAAGCCATTCATGTCTTCTACACCCCTGTTCTCCAACCTTTTGGGCTTAAAAAAAAACTTCTACAGACTGGCAACTTCTCATAAAATTTTTGCAGACTCAAAGAAGTATTGCTTGAAAAACTCAATGGCAGGCATTCTAAACGTTCCTGCTGGTTTTTTTTGTTGCAAAAGTTACTCCACAATAAAGCAATGTATCAGCTATCATGCAATGTTTTTAAAAAAGTAGGAAGTGAGGTGGGATTGAAGAAAATTGCTCAAAATAAAAATTAAAACAATTAATTTCAGCAGGTGAACATTTTTCCAAAGCCTGATTTGGAGAAACTTTCAAATTCCATCAAATAATGTCAAATGCCATTGTCTATCCAAAATTCTACTACAGTATCATAAAGTTACTTTTCTTGGTAGCCACATTTTTAAAATTTCAAGGATCCCTGCCAATCATGAATGGGGAAACCCATGGGAGTAACATTCCAGCTTCAACTTTAATTGTGCACATTATATTTGATTATAATGCAGAAATTTGGAACAAATGTAACAAGACAACTTTTTTTACCCTGAAAAAGTTGAAAATTGATCAGATTTTTGTTCAATTCGCGTCCAAAGTCAAATTTTTTGTTATTTTCAAAATTTTGTGGTTTTAGATTCACTAAAATTGGTGTGAGCATCTTACCTGGGGATAAGATTTTAGCAAAATTTCAAACTGAAAAACCCATGTGCACGCCTGACTTGAGGGTGCATGGTACTCAAGTAAAGTAATTCTCCTGACTACAAGATCAAGGTTGGTCCTATAGAACATGTGACCTGCATTTATCACAAACATGATTTTGAACATTTCCTTATAATTTGCCAATGCTAATGCCCACATGGGGCTGAGAACCCCTTCTTACACGTACAACCTTTTCTTACAGAGCAAATTTTTAAAATCTAGAAGTTATGCAAAGCACCCCATAGCTTGCTTCAGATAAAGATAACAAGACTTCATTGCTCAATAAATTTATCACTTTGAAGAAAGCTTCTGGACTGGAAGCTTTTCCAGACAAATTTCAATCATTTCATTAATAATGCAAGGACATTTTTAGCTTGCTTCAGATAAAGATAACAAGACTTCATTGCTCAATAAATTTATCACTTTGAAGAAAGCTTCTGGACTGGAAGCTTTTCCAGACAAATTTCAATCATTTCATTAATAATGCAAGGACATTTTGTGTCTCAAAAAGGGGAAAAATGCAACCCAAAAATTACCTCCAGTATACAGTATATCTGAAAACTGAGTTTCATGCTTGAGCCGCATTGACTCACTGTCCGTTTGAAGCTTGCACATTATTTTCCGCGCTGCTAAAAATTTTAACGTGCAAATTCAAGCCAGGATCGACCCCCAATTAACTCACCATCAACAGACTCAATGACAAGACAATGGGCATTATCCTCGGGATCAAATCGCGTGATTTCCCCGAATTCGCTAGTGGCCTGATCGAAAACACCCTGTAAATACGGTTTACACTCTGAGAACCCGTCCAGCTTCGTCGTGATCTCTGGCAACCCGTCTTTCGGCAAAAGGTCTTGCTTCACGGAACTGCAGGTCCAGCACGCCAACTGGGTACTGATATCACCTCTTTCCGGTTTGTCGAAAACCGGATATTCGTTTTCCGGAACCGGCCTCACACCCAAAGGAGCATTGTTCACTGCATTCGTGATCACCTCGTAACGGTACACTTGAAAAAAAATAAAATAAGAGAAAAAATATCGCGAATTTTTTCTTCTTCAAATTCATGAGGAATTCTCTGTCACTAAATTCATTGACACTCATATGCATACATAGCTGTCCGAACGATTCAGTTTGGAGGGAGTTCGATTTTAGAATTGACAGTTTAAAAACGTCTCATGGACAGACCTAGGGTAGTTCTTATTAAACTATGTATGGAGGCATTTAAATTTATAAAAGATGAAGCTTGAGTCCTTGAAGTTAAGATGATAAGGGAAATAAAACATATGAGTTGATGCTTTTTAGAAGGAAGTGAGTGACTGGGTAAACATATCTTTGTCTGTAAAATTTCAGCGTCCTGTCAATTTATTCAACCAAATTAGTTCAAGGCCCACAACATAAAATACCTTCCCTCTGATTCTTCGCAGCAAAAATTAGGATTTCCCTAGATCAAAAAACCTTTGAATCGTCGATTTTTTTTTATTTCCTCTGAGTTCAAATTGAAGAGGCTTGACTGTATTTTCAAGACCAAGGACTGCTTTTTAGCACGTCAAAAATGTTGGAAAAATTCAGCCCGCAAATTTATGTCATGGCGTTATCCCCGAAAATCAGAAAATTGTAGAAAAAGGAAAAAAAGAGGATCACACTGATATTTTTGTTTATTCAAGCAGAAGATTTACGCCACGTTCACCAGATTTTATGTAAATTTTTGTACGGCGAAACCAAAAAAATTTCAACCTAAAAACGAAATAAAATCAACAAATTCTTGAATCAAAATATGTACCACGCGTTACTGATAGTGAAAAGTGAGTAGTGTTATTTTTAATTTCAGTAACATCTACTTCCATAAATTGATATAAAATGCAATTAACCAACATATTGATGAACAAGAGCACCTCCAATAAACCAAATTCACGGAACAAGGTTCCAGGCAAAAATTGTAAATACTGCACATGTTGTCACTGAGGTCACAAAGGAAATCTCAATTTATTTAATGCTGAATATAAATTCTTTGGAAAAGAAGCCCCGCAAATTCGCAGAAATCTGTAGCACTAACCTGCGCCGACTCTCGAAAAAAGCCCGGGAATAATCACAAAGACAACAAAAAATAAAATCATGGTATACGCGAAAAAAAAGAAACGCAGTGGGATTTTAACACAGGATGTTTGCGCATTCGATATAAATCTTTCGACAAAAATAGTACACGAATGTATAAAATAAAACTTTCAACAGCTTCATGCTATTCCACGCTCCAGGAAGTCCATTCATCTCGACAAAAAACAATCGATAAGAACCGCTGCGAGGAATGAAAAAATTCCTCCGAATTCTACGGTCTTCGGACGATTTCCAGTGTTGCAAAATGCACCGGTGCAAGCGCAAACTTGCACTCGGTCCCAGAGNTACAACCTTTTCTTACAGAGCAAATTTTTAAAATCTAGAAGTTATGCAAAGCACCCCATAGCTTGCTTCAGATAAAGATAACAAGACTTCATTGCTCAATAAATTTATCACTTTGAAGAAAGCTTCTGGACTGGAAGCTTTTCCAGACAAATTTCAATCATTTCATTAATAATGCAAGGACATTTTGTGTCTCAAAAAGGGGAAAAATGCAACCCAAAAATTACCTCCAGTATACAGTATATCTGAAAACTGAGTTTCATGCTTGAGCCGCATTGACTCACTGTCCGTTTGAAGCTTGCACATTATTTTCCGCGCTGCTAAAAATTTTAACGTGCAAATTCAAGCCAGGATCGACCCCCAATTAACTCACCATCAACAGACTCAATGACAAGACAATGGGCATTATCCTCGGGATCAAATCGCGTGATTTCCCCGAATTCGCTAGTGGCCTGATCGAAAACACCCTGTAAATACGGTTTACACTCTGAGAACCCGTCCAGCTTCGTCGTGATCTCTGGCAACCCGTCTTTCGGCAAAAGGTCTTGCTTCACGGAACTGCAGGTCCAGCACGCCAATTGGGTACTGATATCACCTCTTTCCGGTTTTTCGAAAACCGGATATTCGTTTTCCGGAACCGGCCTCACACCCAGAGGAGCATTGTTCACTGCATTCGTGATCACCTCGTAACGGTACACTTGAAAAAAAATAAAATAAGAGAAAAAATATCGCGAATTTTTTCTTCTTCAAATTCATGAGGAATTCTCTGTCACTAAATTCATTGACACTCATATGCATACATAGCTGTCCCTTGCTAAGTCAAACCTCCCTCAAGCTAAAATCTTAACTGTCAAATTTTTGCAGAGTACCTGTCTGGATCCCATCAAGAATAATTTGATACATACCTCCGTAAATTTAAATATTTTCTACTTCGAACCTACATACAGTCCTTGAAGTTAAGATGATAAGGGAAATAAAACATATGAGTTGATGCTTTTTAGAAGGAAGTGAGTGACTGGGTAAACATATCTTTGTAAAATTTCAGCGTCCTGTAAATTTATTCAACCAAATTAGTTCAAGGCCCACAACATAAAATACCTTCCCTCTGATTCTTCGCAGCAAAAATTAGGATTTCCCTAGATCAAAAAACCTTTGAATCGTCGATTTTTTGTTATTTCCTCTGAGTTCAAATTGAAGAGGCTTGACTGTATTTTCAAGACCAAGGACTGCTTTTTAGCACGTCAAAAATGTTGGAAAAATTCAGCCCGCAAATTTATGTCATGGCGTTAATTCCCCGAATATCAGAAAATTGTAGAAAAAGGAAAAAAAAGAGGATCACACTGATATTTTTGTTTATTCAAGCAGAAGATTTACGCCACGTTCACCAGATTTTATGTAAATTTTTGTACGGCGAAACCAAAAAAATTTCAACCTAAAAACGAAATAAAATCAACAAATTCTTGAATCAAAATATGTACCACGCGTTACTGATAGCGAAAAGTGAGTAGTGTTATTTTTAATTTCAGTAAAATTTACTTCCATGAATTGATATAAAATGCAATTAACCAACATATTGATCAAGAGCACCTCCAATAAACCAAATTCACGGAACACGGTTTCAGGCAAAAATTTTAAATACTGCACATTTTGTCACTGTGGTCACAAAGGAAATCTCAATTTAATGCTGAATATAAATTCTTTGGAAAAAAAGCACCGCAGATTCGCAGAAATCTGTTGCACTAACCTGCGCCGACTCTCGAAAAAAGCCCGGGAATAATCACAAAGACAACAAAAAATAAAATCATGGTATACGCGATTTTTTTTCTTTGCGTCACCCTAAAATTGTGTCCTACAAACGCGTAAGCTATATTTAGAAAGCTGTTTTTATCATGTGCTTACATATTTTATTTTGAAAGTTGTCGAAGTACGATAAGGTGCGAGGTGGAAGTCCATTCATCTCGACAAAAAACAATCGATAAGAACCGCTGCGAGGAATGAAAAAATTCCTCCGAATTCTACGGTCTTCGGACGATTTCCAGTGTTGCAAAATGCACCGGTGCAAGCGCAAACTTGCACTCGGTCCCAGAGCCAAAATCTGTTCCAAAATCGGCATTCGTTCAATGACGTAATTTCCCCTAGGTCTTCAATCATAGCCGCCGATCGCAACAGGACATCTGCAAATTTCGAAATACTGTAATACAAAAATGAAATTCGACGTAAACTTAAGATTGTACACACTGTGTTCAAATTTTCAAAAAACTGGGAGAATACTGTCGTTTCTGGTCTCCTCTACGTGTTTCGTAAATGGTACACCACAATTATAAAATGTTTTGATTGAATGGGGGAAAAACTCCTCAAACAAATATTCCACATCATTCGTCAATGTTAGCGACACCTGATGTCGCCGAAATTTTTAGTACGGTCTGCTCAGAAAAGTTTTCTTCAGATCTACAGCGATTGGACAAGCTGGTAAGAAGGGAGCAGAGCATTAGACTTGCGTTCGTCGTAGAGGTAGGTGCTTGTTATGTCCACCATATATGTAAACACGTTTATCATCACCTTTGGAGGACCTCACGCAAGAATGCGCGTTGTCTTCCGGATATCGTCCTCCTTTTACGAGTCTCAATGGGAACAGTGGGGCAGGGTAAACCAAACCTGTGGGATTATGGGTCCTGCAATGCCAGCACGCGAAATGTGTGGGTTGCATCCTGGCCTGACAGGATGCGTTACTTTTGTCACACGTAGTGGGAACTGAATAGTTTCCGGCGGAAGTCATCGATTCCGCTTCGGAAGTGATTAACGAGAGGAACGTTGCGAGAATTACCAGAGAACTCATTTTCGATGACGACTTATTTTATTATTTTTCGGAATACTGCGATCACATTCAACGTCTTTACACAACAAGACAATAACCTTTAAGAGTTTATATGCGAAGTTGAATTTCTTTGACGTCTGGTCTTTGGATCACCCTCAACTCCTTTTAATACAATATGCAATATTCATCAAAGGCCTGACCAACAGAAAGCGCCATTTTTGTGCAAACCTCCATTCACTGTATCAAGAGGACTTCCCATGCAAATTATGTTGTCTTTTTGCCTTCCTGTTAGAAATGTTAATACAGTTTATCTCTTCAACAAAATTTAAAGATAAATCTGCGAAAAATAATTGGACTGGTGTCTGCATAAATCATTTCTTGGTGTGATTGAAACTCAAATGACTGATTTTGCTGAATTCTTGTGTGAAATACATTCTCTCTTGTCTTTTGGGATTTCTACCAAGAAATTCCCTGCCCTGTTCCTGGGCAGATTGTGGCCTTTGAATTATTTACCTGACCAATTTTCACTCTTTGTTGGCATGGCCCTACAGCTTTTTCTGGTGAATTATTCAACCTCTTTGAAACATAAAACAGAAGTTCATAATTGAAAAAATGCATTTTCTGTGAAAAGAATGAAAAACAATGTAACATTTTATTTTCAAAACTTGAGCTATATATAGGATCATCAGTTTGCTTTTCAAATTTTGAATTGCAGAAAATTTAAGATTGGAAAAAAACATTCTGGCAATTCTAAGAATCTATTAATGGTTTAAAAAGAAAGTTTTTTTAATGTATGTAATGCTCCTATATTTTTCATCAGAGCATGCATGTAAACCTGCTGATTTGTAAAGCTAGAGTCAGGACTGATTTACTTAAATTGCACAAACTGTTTGTATTTTCAAAGACAAAGAACAAGAACATGTGCAAAAATTTTCTTTTCTTTTTATTCTATCCTTGTATTGATTTACCCAATAATTTCAAAATGCAAAAAAATATGTTACTGCTTCAAAGTTCCATTTCTTTCAAGTGCTCAATAAAGCAGAAGCGGCAATATGGAGGAAATTATTCACACATCGAATTCTTTATTCACAATTCAAGAGTTTAAAAAAACAAAAAGGATATGGTACAATTGGATGACTTAGTATCCACTCCCAAACACATTCTTCCAATGGTTCAACACCATCAATTCTCAATTTTTCCTAGAAACAGAGAAACATAAGAGTGCCAGCAGGGTTAACATGAAGATTCTAGAGAATTCCATAAAATTTGCCAAAATAAACCCAACCCAGGAGCAAAAAGGCACCCCATAGTTCATGAAGACTTCTCCGAAATGAGAACCCGACTCCAAAAGGCCTTCTTCGAATGCCACCTGATGAATCCACGGTTTGGCAACCCTGTCGACGATGGTTGAGAATGTCAGGGATTGTTTCATACCCCAGACAATTGGGGTTGCCAAGGCGTGATATCCTAGCATTGCATTGGCATCCCGGGTTTTCAGCTTTGCTCCAAACTGAGAGTCTGCTACATATGTTTCAAGGTCCAATCTTCCTTGTCTACACAAAACGAAGTTTAAAAAGCTGATTGGTTTTTTTTCTTTTTCGAATAGAAAATCAGACTGGTTCTCGCCGCATAAAGAACAAACCCATTGGGGTACCCAGCCGATTTTTCGAAATCTACAGGAAGTTTGGAATTCCTCATCAATCAGGATCACATGTTATTCTAGCTTTATCATTCAGCCAGCTGAGCATAAGCATAATCCTGTACATTATAAGACTTTTATAGTCCCAATTGCTTTGAAGTAAGAAGTTTCTACTGTAGTACAGCATTTTCATTTTCTGGACAAGGAAGCATCATTTTGATTTTATCCATAGGAGCTGATCAGTACACTTTTATAAAACATCTTTAAATGGAATAGGATGAATCTTCAAAAAAATCCACTGTACTGGAAACGTTTCTGCAGGGCTAGTAAATCATTCAATTTGAACATCAAATCCAGAAACTTAATTCATATGACATTCAAGCAAGAAAATACTGAAATTTCACTAGCCTGAATAACTCTGAGCAAATCACAGAGTTGGATGCATAGATCTTTGAGTAGAGCAATCCTGCATAGCTCAAACAGTTGCCAAATATGCCAAGCTCACAAGCTCCAGAACAGGCAAAACTAGCTACACCAGATGCCTCCATGATGAGTGTGCAGAATATGCATGCCAAGCTGGCACCCATGCAAGCAGCTTGTGCTGTAACAGAGCTTCCTAGCCATTTGGCATATGGAGGATATGGATACTTGGTGCTTTTGGCTGGCACAGGGGAATCTACAGCGGCTTTAAAAATCATGCCAGACGAGTCTTTTCAAAAGAAGTCTAGATGTCGCTAACCTGTTCGACCATTCTTCCCTCGTCTCGTAATCTGAACGCAAGCAGCATCTCCATCCACGAACAAGTGTCCACCATATATGTAAACACGTTTATCATCACCTTTGGAGGACCTCACGCAAGAATGCGCGTTGTCTTCCGGATATCGTCCGCCTTTTACGAGTCTCAATGGGAACAGTGGGGCAGGGTAAACCAAACCTGTGGGATTATGGGTCCTGCAATGCCAGCACGCGAAATGTGTGGGTTGCATCCTGGCCTGACAGGATGCGTCAGTTTTGTCACACTTAGTAGGAACTGAATAGTTTCCGGCGGAAGTCATCGATTCCGCTTCGGAAGTGATTAACGAGAGGAACGTTGCGAGAATTACCAGAGAACTCATTTTCGATGACGACTTATTTTTTATTTTTTAGAATATTGCGATCGTGTTCAACGTCTTCATATACAGCAAGAAAATAAACCTATAAGAGTTTCTATGCCAAGTTGAATCTATTTGGAATGTCTGATTTACTGCTCACCTTCAACTCCGTATAATACGGTACTATATACAGTATTCATCAAAGGCCTGACCAACAGAAAGCGCCATCTTTGTGCAAACCTCCATTCACTTTATCAAGTGGACTTCCCATTAAAAGTTTTGTTGTCTTTTTTGCCTTCCTGTGAGAAAAGTGAATACAGTTGAATGTTTCTCTCTACAAAATAAATTTAAGGGTAAATCTGCAAACAAAAATTGGACTTGTGTCTGCATAAATCATTTCTTGGTGTGATTGAAACTCAAATGACTGGTTTTGCTGAATTTTTATGTGAAATACATTCTCTCTTGTCTTTTGGGATTTCTACCAAGAAATTCCCTGCCCTGTTCATGGGCAGATTGAGGTCTTTGAATTAATTACCTGACCAATTTTCACTCTTTGTTGGCATGGCCATACAGCTTTTTCCGGTGAATTATTCAACCTCTTTGAAACATAAAACAGAAGTTCATAAATGAAAATAATGCATTTTCTGTGAAAAGAATGACAAAAAATGTAAAATTTTATTTTCAAAACTTGAGCTATATATAGGATCATCAGTTTGCTTTTCAAATTTTTATTTGCAGAAAATTTATGATGATTGGAAAAAAACATTCTGGCAATTCTAAGAATCCATCAATGGTTTAAAAAGAAAGTTTTTTTCAATGCTCCTATATTTTTCATCACAGCCTGCATGTAAACCTGATTGTTAATGCTAGAGTCAGGACTGATTTGCTTAAATTGCACAAAATTTTTGTATTTTCAAAGCCAAAGCATGAGAACATGTGCTTCTTTTCTTTTTATTCTATCCTTGTATTGGTTCATTCAATAATTTTAAAATAAAAAAATGTTACTGCAGCGAAGTTCCATTTCTTCCAAGTGCACAATAAAGTAGAAGCGGCAATATGGAGGAAATTATACACACATCGAATTCTTTATTCACAATTCAAGAGTTTAAAAAAACAAGAAGGATATGGTACAATTGGATGACTTAGTATCCACTCCCAAACACATTCTTCCAATGGTTCAACACCATCAATTCTCAATTTTTCCTAGAAACAGAAAAACATAGGAGTACCAGCAGGGTTAAAATGAAGATTCTAGAGAATTCCATAAAATTTGCCAAAATAAACCCAACCCAGGAGCAAAGAGGTACACCATAGTTCATGAAGATTTCTCCGAAATGAGAACCCGACTCCAAAAGGCCTTCTTCGAATGCCATCTGATGAATCCACGGTTTGGCAACCCTGTCGACGATGGTTGAGAATGTCAGGGATTGTTTCATACCCCAGACAATTGGGGTTGCCAAGGCGTGATATCCTAGCATTGCATTGGCATCTCGTGTTTTCAGCTTTGCTCCAAACTGAGAGTCTGCTACATATGTTTCAAGGTCCAATCTTCCTTGTCTATACAAAACAAAGTTTGAAAAGCTGATTGGCTTTTTTTCTCTTTTTCAAATTAAAAATCAGACTGTCTCTACATAGAGAACAAACGCCCTGGGGGTACCCAGCCGATTTTTCAAAATCTAAAGGAAGTTTGAATTCCTCATCAATCAGTTCAGGATCACATGTTATTTTAGCTTAATTATTCAGCTAGCTGAGCATACGCATAATACATTAAAAGACTTTTTAGTCCCAATGGCTTTGCAGCAACAAGATTCTACTGTACAGTATTATTATTTTCTGGACAACAAAGCATCATTTTGATTTTATCTGTAGGAACTATAATCAGTAAAGTTTTGTACAATTTTTTTTTTGAAGGAATAGGATGAATCTTCCAAACAATCCACCACACTGGAAACATTTCTGCAGGGCTAGTAAATCATTCAATTTGAACATAACATCCAGAAACTTAATTCATACAACATTCAAGCAAGAAAATACTGAAATTTCACTAGCCTGAATAACTCTGAGCAAATCACAGAGTTGGATGCATAGATCTTTGAATAGAGCAATCCTGTCCAGCTCAAACAATTGCCAAATATTCCAAGCTCACAAGCACCAGAACAGGCAAAACTGGCTACACCAGATGCCTCCAGCTACTCACACGTCTTATACGTACGGTTCGACCGTGGGTACGTTCGTCGAACACGACATTGTCTCGAAGGATCGGTAAACCGTATACCTCCTATACCTATGAACCACGAAAACCGACCGTGTCCCCTTGAGTCCCTGCGCAGTACTGTAGGCAGGTATGAGCTCTTGGACATTGTCAGAACCTCTCTGGTCTCTTCTTGGGACAGGTTGTACGCCTGGGCCAGCTCTGCCAGCACTGCTGGGTACCAGGAAGAGAGGTCCCCAAACACTGCAAAAATGTCCCATATACCGTATTTACTCAAGTACCATGCGCACCTTTTTTATTGAATTTCAGAAGAAATAAAGGGGTGCGTGTCATAAGCGGGTACACATTTTTCAAGAAGTCTTAGAAAGTTCTATATGTGCATTATATTTACTCATATTGGAGAAATTTAAAAAAAAAGTGAGAAGAAAACTTTTTTGTACTGATTTTTAACTTTTAACCAGTCTAAAAACAACTTAAGTACAGACTTCAGTTTAAAAAACAAAGATAAAAGTTTTAAAACACCAAAATCTAAATGATTTTTAAACCCCACACTCAGTATGAACCCCTATTGATTTTAGCCAAATTTCCAGCTGAAAAAACCCTGTGCGTGCCTTACTCAAGGGCGCGTGGTACTCAAGTACAGTTCAACCTTGATAAGTCTAACCTCCCTAAGTCACAAACCCCCTAAGTCGAATTTTTCCCCAGTCCCCTTCAATTCCCTTAGAAAATAATGTTAACAAAACCTCCCTAACTCAAAAAAGTTCCACTGGAAACCTCCCCAAGTCGAATTTTTGCACACAAGGAGGAACTGGAAATGTTTTTATTGCAGGCGTTTTTGAAGGAGGAGAGCGGCTTCAATTTGACACAGCATCCTCCCCCATTGATTGAATAAAGATACACTGTTTCTGGCCCCCAGGCGCCAGAAACAGTGTCTCTTTCTACTGCTGCAGCAATTACCCTGTGAAAAGAACGGACATCTCTTCAAAATAAAAAATTCATGAATCCCCTGGCATGCTTGTGATTCAACACATAGCATGCCATGCGTTGAATCACAAGCATGCTGACTTAAATGGTATGTTTCAAATTTTTTTCAGTGCACTGAAAGAAATTTGAAACTTATCATTCAAGTCAGCACAGAAACAAAAACTGGGGACAACACAGAAAAAAAATTCAGGATAAAATACTGGGGGAGAATTTGGTATAACACTGGGAAATGGCATATATATATTTTCTGTGAAAGTTTTATTCCCTCCATATATTTGAGCATATTTCATTATATGCTTAAATATATTTAGGGTATTAATATATGCCCTTTCCTAGTGTTATACTAAATTCTTTCCCAATAATTCATGGTGAATTTTTTTTCTTCTGTGTTGTCCTCAAAACCTTCCTAAGTCAAATTTTTTTCCTGGCCCCTTGAAATTTGACTTAGAGAGGTTCAACTGTAAATACAGTAGCATATAGCATACACCATGAGTCCTCATGCAACAAAATACCCATCATACAACACAAATTTTGCATTACAATGGAATTTCTTGGTGGGCAGAAGTTCAAGTTTAAAATAAATTATTCATAACAAAATTGTCCTGCATTAGAAAACGTTTGATGTATAATGTGGCTAGCTTTGAATTAAAATTCCAGACTTTCCATATACAGTATATGAGTCACAATCTCCTGTTATTTATGTTTTTCTAAGTGCAGTATTGCTCCACTTTCCAACCTGTGTTAGTCAAACCATGAATCAAATCATGAAATTAATTAGGGACTGAACAATTTAGCTGAGTGATGACAGACATTATGAAGCTCAACTTCAAACTTGATTTTTACAAAATAAAGTAGAAAGAATATGTACAGATAATCCAATTTTCAAACAATGAATTGAATTGAATTGAACAGCAAGCTTTATTTTCTGCTTTTCAACATTCACAAGGTTCAAGAAACATTTCTGCATCTAAACCCCCTCCTCTCCCAGAATGCATCCATCCAAAGCCCAAACACATTCCATCACATCAGAACAGAAAATAGAGAAATAAGCATCCCAAAATGTACAATTGCACAACGGATGCAAATACATGCACTTTCTTCCCTTCAAGGAATGAAGTGTTGGAGAATGAGTACATAGTGCACTGTAGATGCATTTTAAAACTTTTTTTATTCTGAATAATGAACTTTTAACACCACTGAATTCGTGGTCTGGGGAAAAAAATGAAAATATTCACAATTTATTCTAAGGTAAATGTGTCATAAGGTACTTGCAAAATGTTTATTTTTGAAAAAAAAAATCTAGGAGCATATTCATCTTTTGTGTTTGTCCGAAATGGTGGCACTATCAAAAAATTTTTATAAACCTTGATATGTACAAAAATTGAAGCACTTGGAAAATCTCACCATTGGAATTTTCATCAAGGCTATTTTCTTGAAATCCTTGAGCCTTTAAACTTTTTCCTGCATCTGCGGATAAAAAAACAAAACAAATATCTCAGCAACCACTTTTTTCAGGATGCTTCAGGAAAACAAGTTCTTGTCGTCGATGAATTATTTTTCCCTGTCCCTGTATTGTAAAAGTTACAACATTATTTGTCAAAACACAGTGGATTTTTAAAATTATGATATGCGTTTTCTTTTAGGTCGGCCTCGTTGGAACACGATTTTTACCTGTATTGTAACTGTAATACTTGCCCAAGTCTCGTATCATCCTCGTGCTTTTAGCCCCAGCATTCTCAGCAGCTCCTGATGAACTCCTGCTGAAAGGACAGAGTTCATCCAGCAGACAGCATTCAGCATTCAAGANAATCCCCAGAAGAATCCCACTAGAGAATCGAACCTGACTCTCGCGATTATTCTCAGGAAGACTTGCAATACTTTAGCAAGACTTCTTTATATTGTCTTGACTCTGCTTGCGTGACTGTTGTATGAAAAATACGAGTGTGATTCTGTGTACCAAAATAATAGAAATATATTGTGCAGTCATATTTTGAAACATTGTATTTATTTATTGACGCGACCAAAGAGAATATTTTATCAAGCAAGTTAAGATAACACCTCCCAGAATGCATCCATCCAAACACATTCCATCACATCCGAATGGAAAATAGAGAAATAAGCATCCCAAAATGTACAATTGCACAGCAGATGCAAATACATGCACTTTCATCCCTTCAACCAATGAAGTTTTGAATAATGAGTATATAGTGCACTGTAGATGCATTTTAAAACTTTTTTTTATTCTAAATAATGAACTTTTAATGCCATTGAATTTGTGGTCTGGGGAAATATGAAAATATTCACAATTGATTCTAAGGGAAATGTGTAATATGGTACAGTACTTGCAAAATGTAATTTTTGAAGAAAACCTAGGAGCATATTCATCTTTTGTGTTTGTCCAAATTGGTGGCACTATCAAATTTTTTTTAGAAACCTTGATTTGTAAAAAAAAAATGAAGCACTTGGAAACTCTTACCATTGGAATTTTCATCAAGGCGATTTTCTTGAAATCCTTGAGCCTTTGAACTTTTTCCTGCATCTGCGGATAAAAAGAAAAAAAAGAATATCTCAGCACCCAATTCCTTCAGGATGCTTCAGGAAAACAAGTTCTTATCGTCTATGAATTATTTTTCCCTGTCCCTGTATTGTAAAAGTTACAACATTATTTGTCACAACACAGTGGATTTTTAAAATTATGACATGCGTTTTATTTTAGGTCGGCTGTAGGGCAACAAGCCCACAAAGAATTTGAATAAATAGGAGGATAAAATAAATGAGTAAAAATGCCCAATCCGCCAGGGAACACGGCACGGAGCCCTTTGGTAAGGACTCCAAAGAGAAAGAGAATTGCATTTCAAATGATGAAGAATGTACGTAAAGCTTCAAATAAATTCCAACAGTTTGAATGAAATGGGGACTTCAAAAACGGACAAAATGTACACAGACAAAGGTTCTCAAGAGCAACCAAACGCTTCAAAAGTTTCAAACATAATGTGAAAATAAGTCATCCCAGAAAAAGACAAGATTTACAATTGCACAATTTGTGGCAGCAGGAGCTTCCAAGGAACTTCCCACTGCCGCATTCCAACGGTTCCGGTTTTTTTAATTTATAATAATTGCGCGCATTTTACTCGTTTCATGGGAAGTGCCATCTGTGCCCCACATCCGCCTCATTGGAACACGATTTTTACCTGTATTTTAACTGTAATACTTGCCCAAGTCTCGTATCATCCTCGTGCTTTTAGCCCCAGCATTCTCAGCAGCTCCTGATGAACTCCTGCTGAAAGGACAGAGTTCATCCAGCAGACAGCATTCAGCATTCAAGAGCCCATTCAGGAGATTCAATATTCTGCACAAACGAACCTGGTGCTGATGGCATCGTCATACGATGTTGCCTTGATGCTGTAGTCGCCAGGTTTCCCCCTGAGCAATTGCTGTTGAAGGGTTTCAATAGTTTCCAGGTCTCTCTTGGTGCGCGAAAACGTTCCAGAAGGTTGGGGGTTTGATACCTGGAACCCCCTTTCAGGACCCAGGAATCCGAAGGCCTCGAAGTACCTGGAAAAAAGGGGGCGTTTGATTTAATGAAGAGTGACAGAATATAATGCGTTTATCGGGATAAATTGTTCTGGATATGATCTAATGGACTTTGGAACTTCCACATCCAAAGTTCATGGCTGAGCGTTTTGGATCAATATTTGCGATTAATTATCTTTTCCCCACCATTGGTTGAAACTACTTCTGCAAATTTCGCACTCCTGCCAAGAATTATGAAAATGTGGTGATATTGTTATGACTATACTGCATAAAACACTTCTGACTCACCCAATGGTTTATGTGTTATTGTGCTTTAGCCCTTGGATGGTGAAGGGTTTCTGGCCATCCTGCCAAAAAGGTGGGATTTTTTCAATCATTTTTTTTTAAGCTTGCCAAGGCTTATGTTGGGAAAAATCTGGGTGCAGAAAATCCCATTGCCTCAAGAAATCGCCAATGTTGATCCTAGGCAGGGAATGCATAAAAAAAACACAACTGCCTGAAGGATTTTTTGAGGCACAATTTTCTGCAGGATTATAAAAATACATTGGACTTTTTCCTGACTTAGTCCGTAGTTGAAACACCTTTTTATTTTTATTTGCAAAGCTCACAGGGACACAATTTGAAAAAATCCCAACTTAGCTGCACAATGGTTAATGGGCAATCCTACTCAAGATTCTGTTGCTTCCCAGAATTCTTTTCTGCATGAAATTATATTTTTGTCCCAGTTATATACAGTGGGACCCGAAGATGTGGACATAATTGATGCATGGACCTTGTCCCTAAGTCATAATGTCTGCATGTTGGACCTCATTTTCCCAAAGACTTCAATGAGAATATTTGTAATGGTACCCTTCTAGATGAGTAGTTCAGAAAAAGTCCATCAAAATTGAATAAAATAATTTTTCTCAGCCTCAAGATACACTACATAAATGTTCAGAAGAAAACTGCACAGAATCTGATTGTTTGGCATCTGAAAAAGAGCTTGCAAGAAATTAGCCTTCCTATGCTGAGCCCGCATGATGGAAAAAACTGGAAAGTGAAGCATAAAATTGGTCTGTTTTTGATGATTAATTAGGGCTGTTATGCAATGAATTCATTTTTACCACTTGTAAATGTAAATAACTCAATTTATTTCAGAAATACAAAAATTTGAAAAGTAAAATGGTTAAACTCTTCTAGAAATCTAGGGAAAGTGTCCATATCTTGAGTTCCTGTTCAGATATCAGGGGCAGATTTGTTCAGTTTTGAATGTCACTATGTCTGGGTATCTGTATTTCTTATTTCTCTCAGTAATGGCAATAATTTAAAAAGATAATCAAATGTTGGCTGAATGAGGAATAAAGGACCTGATAAAAATACTTGGCTGAAGCAGTTTATGTATTTCTTGATGAAGGACGCAGAAAATGATTTAAATCTTTGAGAACCTAATAATTGCTCAAACTGTGATGGATCAAACTGCTTGCTAGTGCTGGTTGAAATATAAAATTTATTTTGGTCCAACAATCTGAGGAAAAAACATTAATGGATCATCACTTTTACTGATTATTTAGTGACTAATGCAGTGCTCAGTTCATACTTGATTGCATAAAATGATCCACAGTTGAACAAAAGGTACAGTATTGTATAACTAGGTATGGCTGGGTTTCCCGGTTCTTTTCTGCCCAGGAGCTATTCTTGGGTTGCACTTTGCGCTGTGTGGAACTTCAGGGTGTTTTCTATTTTGGGTGACACATCTTTTTGACCTCCCACACACTCATATATATTTAGGTTTCAGATTTTAATAATCAAAGAAGCATATTTGCTCACAAAATGGTGTCTGATTTCCTGGAGCAATTGAGTACCTTATTACACTTGTAGAAGAATACTATGAAGTTTATTCACACTTCTTCAAAATTTTTTTCTGACATCTGATTGAATTTTCATATTGTTGATCCAAAAAAAAAGTGTTTCACATGCATTTGCTGGTTGTCAGGGCCCTTTTTTTAAATTACAAAAGAGGATACTGGGTTTATTCTACTGAAATAAAATGAAATTTTGAAAAATGTACATCCTGAATATGACACTCACCCAATTTATTAATTAAAAGTTTTTAAATCTGTAATTTCAAAACTGTATGAATAAAATATGATTTGGAATTTTAGACTACTGTATGTATAAAATATTATTTTAGTTTTATTCTTTTGTCCACGGTGATTTAAGGTTTACTCTCTCTATAAACAATGAAATCCATGGGATACCATGAAAATTCTTTGTAGAGAGACAGCAAACCAACATTTTTTAAATATACAGATCAGATTGTTGTAGACAGGATTGCTGTATGTAGAGAAAGTCCTCCTGTATTTTCTCTTGCCCTGGAGTATGCATACTACACTATAATTCTTACAATTCACCTTTAAAAGAGTTTCCAAATGGTGCAAGAGTATTTTAATGATATCAAAACATTGCAGAACTTATTCATGCTACTGAGTTGAAAATATAATGCTCGAATTACCTTTCGTATGAGCAAAAATCCATTTTTTCCTTCAACAGTTTCTTGAATATTTTTGTTTGATTTTTAGTTTATCAAACTGATTCAAATAATATGTGGGCTGAAATTTCAAAGGTTTGCGTGATTGATTTTTTTTATTACCAATAAGACAGCACTATTCCGTAAAATGTCAGTTTTCAAATGAATTATTCGAAATAAAATTAATACATTATAATAGGGCATTTTGATAACGACTGTCCTTTGAAACATATTAATTCTGTTTACCAACTTTCACCCTAAATTTTCCGTTCGTCAACGTTATATTTGAGCAGAAATGGACAAAAAAAAAATCGCAGACCTTTGCATATGCTCACGTGGCACTTCCTCGTATTCCACATGTCCGGATAGGAAGTGGTTGCCCTCGACCTGGGATCCAGAGCTGATACGATTTCCGCTTTTAGTGACCGAGTGGACACAGGGCAGGTCATGGCTCGGGTCTTTGGCAGGACACACGAAATGGGCCCCGAAGGCCACGTTTTCTTCTGACGAATCCCGACCCTTTAGGCATTGGAGTTGCACCGAAAACCCGTGATCGCCGGGTATGATCATGACTCCCGGGAATGACCCGGGGCTCAGGTCACGTGTTATCGGCATATGGGTCAGCGAGTCAGTGGCCTTGATCTTCACGCGAGACTCGGTGCACCTGATGATAATTCATGCGAGAAATGGCAAAAAAAATAATTTTTGTTTATACCTGGATGATGTCACGTTTTCTCCGGGATATTTTAAACAAAAAATATGTAATACTGTACAGTATTTTGTTCAATATTATGCTTGGCGAGAGTGTCGTGGCTGGAAGCAATGCAGCTCCAGCATCAGGCTGAAACCAGCCCACAAAACTTGTTGGATTTCCGAGGCCAGTGAGCCTTGCAAAAATCCCACTTTTGCCAGACTCACTGAGCCTCACTCAAGGACAAGAAGTGGTCATCACTTTTTCAATTTTACAAAATTGGCCAATCCTGAGCCAGGAAGAAATCACCTGATTTCTTCCTGACCCAGTCCAAGCACCTGGGTATAAAATCCCTCATTCCTCTTTGAGAGGAGAAGTCAGAACCTAGCGTTAAAGTTCCTTTTAACTTTAAATTACCTCATTCAATATTCTGAGCTAACCATTGACTCTGCCATTAAAACCATTGAATTAACATCCAATTGATGAACTTGGCAATGAAAATGAACTCCTCTGAAAAGAGTTTGAGTTAATATTCAAAACTTGCATTCTGATGGCTGCACAATTCAATTCCTTTGTCTGGGATGCAATGTACCCATGACAGCATGAACCGTTATTTGATCCCAGCACAACTTGTTGAAATTAGCACGTTTTTTACATGAGCAAAAATAAAAGCCAACAACTGTTTTTTTTTTTCATTTCTGCTGCAAAGAATCTGAGGCTGCTCAGCAGATGATGCCTGAGTTTTCAACGTTTCAAAATTCAATTCTCAAAACCTGATGAAATTCTCAGATTTTTGTCAAATTAAGTGTGGCAAATTTCATCTTTCCTATTCAAACTCCAAAAATTCCTTCTTTCTCATTTTGTGTGTAAAAGTTATATTTTTGATTTTAAAAAAAACACTCACCATATAGTGAATCATTGGAATTCCTTGCTATTTTGCATAAAAATTATGTAAAGGTGAAATCCTCTTTGCTTTTTTCATTTTTGTAAGTATGAGTCAAATGTTAGTCCTCTTGGGAAATCCCAAGTTTGCACAGCATTTTTTGGAGGCTCACAAAATAAATATAAATTTTACAGCAGGGAAGGGTAAAGAAATTGATCTCTTTTATGGCTTTAGGAATTAACTTGGTTCAATTTTCGAAACTACAGTACTACTCTGCATTGTAGTACTGTACTGTATAATATTTTTTAGAAATTTGCCAGCAGGAAAATTGGGACAAAATGCAAATGTTAATGTTGTGCAGTTGAACCTTGATAAGTCAAACCTCCATAAGTCAAATACCTCCCAAAGTCAAATTTTTGAAAAGTCCCTGTCTGAATTCCCTTTAAACAATGCATTAAAAATCTCCCTACCTTAAAGTCTTTTACTCTCAAACCTCAGTAGGTCAAATTTCCTGATGCCTTTTGGTTATCTTTTTCTCTGAAATATGAAAGAGAAAATCAGTAAAACAAATGATTTGAGGAATCTTGAAAGGAAGTGATAGAATAATTAACCAAATGAACCCCTGCCTCCAAGTTCAGCAATAAGCTGTAAACTCATCAAGAAGCATGTCTAGGCCAAGAATATCCTCATTCACAATTTCCCACAATTTTCTTACTTTTCCTTGCAGCGAAAATGTTTGTTTACTCAACTGAAAGCCTCCAAAAATTGAACCTGCCTATAAGTCAAAATATTTCCCTGGTCTCCTTATTGAAATAGAGTCAGAGAGGTTCAATTGTATTTGCGGTTGAATGCCTTTGATCCCTCATGCTAGCTACAAGAATGTTCCTAAATAAAAAAAAGTCGATTCATCATTTGAAAGGGAAAAATTGAAGCAAATTTAAAAATAAGCATTTCCCAAAATGATGGTAATCGGTTTATTTTAATCAATGAAAAAAAACGCTAAAATGTTTGATCTCCCTGAGTGTTCTCATAAAAGCAAAATTTTCTCAAGCACTTCAATCGCTTTACAGCTCTATATGACCAAAAAAATTGTCAAGAAAACCTTTTTTCACAAAGGAAATACAGTATCTCACCCAAGGTCCACGCTCTTGTTCATGAACCCTCGCAAGTACTCCCTCCGGAGAAAGTTGCCAGATGTCGCATGCTGCACGGGAGTGACTACGAATCTCTCCTCTCCACTATTATTCGTCGCATTCACTCCTATCTCAACACTGACTACTCCATCAGCGAGCCACGGACTGTCATGCAAAACATCAATGAAGTCTTCTATGCCTTCGTTGTGTCGATTCATGTCAGGGATCAGCATCATTCGAACATGATCACCACTGGTCTCATCGCGATTGCCAAATGCGTCGAATTTGATGATGCCCGTGATCCCGCGTTTATTACTGGGTTTGTCCGCATTGGCTATTGCGAGCGCTGCGTCAAACGCTGCTGTCTCGTGGAATGAAGCTCCTTTGCCCAGTTTTTTGTTCAGGTGCTGCATTAGTTTGTGTCTGAGGAAGGAAAATATTTTCACATGTTGTTGGAAAGGCATTTAAAGCGCTTGTATATGACGAAGAAGGGAGGAGAAAGAAAAACTGAAATTAACCGCGACGCATGGAAGAGCCTTTCTACGCGAAATGGCGCGAACTATTCCATTTATTATTTCATTAAATATTCCGTTTCACTTGGTTTAGAAATTGTAAATAATTCATGAAAACATTGTTTATACCCAGAAAGAAAATAGGACACAAATGTTTTGACTGCCTGTGCGAGGAGGCTGAGGACAAACCTACTTATCCTGTGATATTTTCAAGTAGTGGGACTTCGCAAAACTTCAGAAAATGGCGTGGGGGTTTCTGCTGTGGGTTGCCCTAGATTTCAGAGTAGTATTGTGGTTATTCACATAAAATACATGCGTTTTATAAACTGCTTTCTGAATCGAAGCGCAAGTTGAGTGCTTTTCAACTGATATGGTTTGAATGGGAAATTTGGCCAGCAGAGATTAATTCAATGTAGTTTCAAAAGCTTAAAAGCTTAAGATTGAAATTTACGCAGATTTGGAATTTAAAAAAGGAATTGCACTCTCAAATTCACCAAGAACGTCAATGTCAATATAATAAGCTTCCCCAACAAAATGTATTCCTGTTCCCCAGGAGTTTTGGTTGTAATGGGATTTTACTGCACAAAAAAGATTCCTTTCTGTAACCCAATTGCTTTCTTGTAAATGCATTTTCTTGCAATTAAATGAGCAGTTCGCCTCAAATGTGATTCATTTTCACGTTGATTAGACGTGAAAAAGCGAATAGAAGAATAAATTAAATGAAGCTCAGAAAATTTATTATTAATTAAGCCTTGCTCACCTGAATAATCCAGTTTCATTGAAGCCCAGAAACGCAACAGAATAAACCCCTATTTCTCTCGCGATGTCCCACGCGATTTCGTTTGCCTGCAACTGGTCAATCCAGAAATGTGCTTCCGGAAATAACCACAGCCTGTCTTTGACCTGTTTGTAGTGAATCATTTCTTCCAGTAAACCAGCTGCAGAATCCCCATCGCCCCAGAAAATCACGGAAACGTCAGGATATTGCTTCACAGTTTCTGCCAATTTGGCCGCAGTTTCCGACTCGTTCGAGTACATTAAACTCGGCAGAATTTTGGTCCGAGGAGCGGATTTCTTGAGTAATTTCTCCAGGTCAAATTGCAAAATTGTCAACTCTCGTCTGTCGAAATCGTCGACGATCGGCAACAAGACAGTCACGTTGGATTGGACCATTTTCGAACTGAATGCCAATATTTCTGCGCGAGTCGATCCGTAGGTTGAGCAAATATTCCGGTTTCTTTTCTCGTATCCGCGTTTGGCGAATGGTATGTAAACTTTGACGTTGTTTTCCTCTGTTAGTTTCCCCAATTCTTCTGCTTTTCTTTTGAATCTGAACGAAATTTCATGGGCACTTAAATTCCTCAGGAATTGAATGAAAACCAAGAGGATATTTGATTTAATATAGTTTTTGGGGACAACTTGAGAATTTATGGTGAGACTCCCACATGCGGACACCTTGAATTGCAGACAATTCGACATAGGGACATTTATTTCCTGCTAAAAAGGCATAAAAAAGGCCTGTCATGTAGAAATTGCATGACAAAATCACCAATAAGTTCAAGGAAAAATGACTTTTATCTGGGTGAATTGTAAGAAATAGATATTTCCAACCCTAAGATATATGCAAGAAAAAGTCATTGTTATTTTCCCCCATCATTATCTCATCCATCCAGCTAACTAAAAATAAATTAGGTTCAGCACAGAGAAACTTCCTTCTCTCTTTGTGACTTGAATGAATGAATGAATGAACAGAACACTTTATTTGCCGCTTTTCAGCGTTCACAAGGTTCAATGGAGATTTCCACAACCAAACCCCCTTCC